TCGAAGTCTCTATACTTAATAAATCTCCTTTGTTTGTTTCGGTATAATAAAACAGTTATGGAATGGGTACTCGGGAAATATCAAATTTATGGTTCCCCTCGGCAGGAAACTATTTCCCTCGGCGGCTTCGCCGCCTCGGGAAATAGTTTCCTCCCTCGGGGAACCATAAATTTGCTATTTCCCTCATACCTATTCCATAACTGTATAATATATATATAAGAAAAGAAAAAATCTGTATCACTGATTACTATGGCATGTCACTTGCAATATTCGATATTTTCCATTTGTATTGTATAAAATTCCATTGTATTGTATAATTTTCCATTTATATTGTATAATTTTCCATTTGTATTTTATAATTTTTCATTTGCATTGTATATTTTTTATTTGATTGTATAATTTTTCATTTGTATTGTATAATTTTGCATTTGTTTGTATTGTATATTTTTTTTATTTGTATTGTATAATTTTTATTTGTATTCTGTAATTTTCCTTTTGTATTGTATAATTTTCCTTTTGTATTGTATACTTTTCCGTTTGTATTGTAAAATTATACAGTACAAATGGAAATTTATAGAACACAAATGGAAAATTATAGAATACAAATTGAAAACTATACAATACAAATTGAAAATTATACAATACAAATGGAAAATTATACACAACAAATGGAAAATTATAGAATACAAATAAAAATTATACAATACAAATGAAAAATTTTACAATACAAATAAAAAAAATACATGTAGTAGAATAAAAATTATAGAATATAAAAGGAATATTATAAAATACAATTGGAAAAGATCGAATTTTGCAACGTTTGACATGCCATAGATTACAGTTGCAACACCGTCGTGAGAAAACATGCTACACCGGATGCTAAAAGTACAGAAATTGCTTGCATTGGAAGGAGCCTGAAATGCACATATGTATCATAAATATATATATATATATATATATATATATATATATATATATATATATATATATATATATATATATATATATATATATATATATACACACACACACACACACCCCCCCACCCCCCACCCCCCCGTAAAGCAATTGTCAAATACAAACTCACTAATAATATAAATACTCCTTATTCTCTACTTCAGAAGAAAATTTCATGAAAATTTTATTTGAGACCTCTAGCTCTCTGTGTGCGTAATTATAAACAAAAACTGATTGTCTGTGCTTGTGCAGTCAGGCCATGATAATTAACAATTGTTTAATATGAATCTAACAGGTGCGTGATTTAATATAAACAATACATATAAAATTTTAGAACCATCTTATTACTTCCAAGAATACTTTAGCATATATAAAATCTATAAAGCAACAGTCCAAACAAACTCTTGGACTAAAAATACTTTTTTTCAATTTTCAGCAAGTTAGGATTTTCATTCATTAATAAAAAAAGAGAATTCAATAAAATCACTTCTGAGAAGCATAAAGCAAAGAATATCAGATCAATGCTTACAAAAGAAATATGCAAAGATTCATAATTCACCAGAACTAAAATATTACCAAATTGTTTTTGATAATTTTAAACGCTGTGGATACACCGATATATTAGGCTAAAAAGAGAACAGAGCTAGATAAATTATTAGCAGGTTGAGACTTAGTGCACATTATCTTGCCATAGAAAAAGGGTGACTTTTGTCTATACCCACAGATAAAAGATTTTGTAATATTTGCAACATAGGAGAGATTGAAGATGAGTTTCATTTTCTATTCAGCTGCCAAAAATACAATAATCATGGGTTAACTTTTGAAAGGAACTTGTTGAATTTTTATCAAGGGAAAACATCAAATATGTCTTATACTAAAAAAGTTAAGCTTTGCTTTAATAGCCAATGACCTGAAATACTGAAAATAACACACTCATTTATTTAAAAAATGTCATATATCTAGATTATATTACATAATTTTTGTACAAATGATTGTATGATTTATGAATATCTTCACATTCTAGAATATTGTTTAAATGTATGAACAAATAATTCTTATATGTTGTGCCTTTGCAATACAAATGGAAAATTATACAATACAAATAAAAATTTTACAATACAAATAAAAAATTATACAATACGAATGGAGAATTAAAGAATACAAATGAAAAATTATAGAATACAAATGGAAAATTATAGAATACAAATAAAAATTTACAATGCAAATGAAAAATTATAGGATACAAATGGAAAATTATACAATACAAATGGAAAATTATAAAATACAAATGGAAAATTATACAATACATATGGAAAATTATACAATGCAAAAGGAAAAGATCGAATATTGCAACGTTTGACATGCCATAATATACTGGATATGCAGTTTGCCTATTCAAAAAGGTGTACAATAGATCTAGAATACAACAGTATAATTTTTCCTCTGCTTATGTACAAGTTTCAAGTTTTTATTTAAGACAAAGACCCCAACTTGGGTATATGAATACAAATGATACAACAAAATAACATACAAGCATGAATGCATGAATGAGTGGCACTGTTAATTATATACATGTATAATTCAACATGTTCAAAACATCAAAGTATAGAAGGCCTCTGTTAGTATTAAATAAATCTATATGTATTACAACATATTTTAAACAGTAGTTATCATTAAATTTATTACTGACAATAAAATTTTGCAAAATTTGGGAAGTCCAAAAATGACTTTATATATAGCTTCCTGACAATTTAACAGGCAGGGGCGTCGGCAAAGGGGCGGCAGGGGCGGCGGTCGCCGCCCCAATAATTTAAAAAAAAAAAAAAGAATTTTAAATACGATATACAGAACTACAAAATTTGTAATGGCAATATCTTTGGTCAAGGGAGCGGCAAGAATAACGGCAATCTGAGGTCAATGGAGCGGCAAAGTGTGAAAGATATTGTTTACACAGACGCAAATTGGGATGTACTGTACGTGTATATATATGTCACAGTTGATATTTAATTAAATATTTTGTTAATAAATTATATTTGATTAGCGCGCATTGATAATCAAACATAGCGCCGTCTGTGTGAATGAGTGCCATGTGTGAATGTTTTGTTTTGTCACGTGATATTTCTATTTTTAGTTTACAAACTGACCAGGTATACGAATACGACCAGTGGACCAATGATAGACCACTATTTGATAATTAATATGCATGTATACTAACTTCGTGCACTACATAAGCGCTTATCCCGCCAAATCAAATAACTATTAGATTTCTACCTTTACGGTGTAAGAGGTCCAAACCTTTATGTTTGAAGTCATCGACTTTCACGATGATGTGATAATTATATTTCATATTTTATAATACTGGATACCTGGTAAGATTTATTTCTAATGATGTAAATACTTATTAAACCAATTTCGATAATACGTAATTTATCTTTATTGGCAGCGACGAGAATTTTCATGTTGTGTAATTTGTAATTTTGTTTAATGTGCTGTATTTGTCTCTTGTTAATGTGTGTGTGTTGTGAGTGTGTTTTCTATGTTTTCTAGGTTTCATTTCTTTGTTATCCTCATTAAAACTTCATAAATCCGAATCCAGCGTTATATTCTTTAACGATGACCCTGTGACATATATACCTGACAGTGTACCTGGTATGTGTAAACAAGCATGGTATCCATCGCTCAATGTGCAAGTTTGCTACAAATTCTTCATCAGGCCCACGGCTAGCAACGTTTTGGAAATTCTATTTTTGGGGGGCCGGTTGGGGATTCTCTAAGTTTCCGGATTTTTTTTCTCCCAAATGCTGGAATTTGCCCGAGTTTGACCTAACACCACCAAAAAGTTTGATGAAAAGGGGGGGGGGGGGAGCAGCGTCTAAATGAATTATGTTTTTACATATCGAAACTTAAGCAAAAAAACTATTCTCAGAAAAAGCTGAGAAATTGGGCAAATATTGGACCCCCCCCCCCTTCCTCACACCTTCCCCAGCGTATAACTGGCCTGTTCGTTGTCTAATGAATTGGTCGATCGATGTTTGTAAATCTTTGATGAATCGAAGTTATAAGCTATTAAATTAGAGCAAAATACTAAAGTACTGGGTAAAAATTACTATATATTTAAAACAACTTCAGTTGATTTTTTATGATGTCATACTGTTTTACATATTTAATTCTGCATTTTAAAAATGGAGGGATTGTGAAGGATTAATCAACCTATTCATTTTAAATTTCATAATTATGCATTCTTTCGGCAAATAACAATAAATATCATACAATAATAGAAAATTATATGTATTTTAATCTTTACCTCGTCATAAACCCTTCAAAGTTCTTTCTATGCTGTTTCGGGAAAAAAAAAAACTAGCTCCTAGTTATTTAAAAATATTTTGGTTTCGTTTTATTTATAGTATATGTAACTTGAAACACATAAAATTTTTTTGGTTGCATGTTTAATCAGTTAATTGTTCTTTATTTATCAGAAAATACCTCCAGGCTATTGACGTAATGGGAAAATATTAAGATATTGGCGGAAACTTTAATTACTTAGTTTACATGTATTTCACAAAAGTTGGTAAGGACCTCCCCCCCCCCCCCTTTTCGATCCAGTTCGCCTCCCCAATGTCAAATACTTGCCGACGCCCCTGACAGGTCATGAAATTTGATAACATTAGGGTTAGCATAAAAAATATTTGGAACAAGTTTTTTTGTTCTCTTTTGAAAAAAAAGCACATTCTAAAAGATAATGGAATTCGTCTCCTAAATTGTTAGAGGAACAAAGATCCCAAATTCGGTGTACAAATGTATGATCCACCACTGTAAATATAAAGAGTTGTCGTTCTTTGCACATTTGTAGTGTCGAAAAATTGAAGACATAATCTTATTATTTATTTTTAAAAAATACACATAAAGAGAATTACATAGTATTCTATAAACGCAATTCCTTAAAAAAAAAAAAATATTTTACTACATTTTAAAAGATAAATGGCACACATTAAAAAACAGCGCCATCTATGCCTCAGGAATCTTCCCGGATTTGGAGAACAATACAGAAGCGTTCCGAGAGTTAGATTTGGTGTGAACGAGAAGTCTTGCCCAATGGGTTGGAAAACATAAGAGTGAGTATATTTTATAGTGAAGAACAGTGGCTAAAACCTATCATTGCATATGGGGATTTTTTATTTCCATGTTTAGCGCTTTGATTTGCAAAATATTAACATCTACCCATATATCAAGGGGAGTAACTCTAAATTTTTACATCGGCAACTTGGTGTCCATTAACAATTGCATCAATTTTGGCCATATTTAAGTAATTTGATTGACAACTCATGTTTTCAGTTTATAGTTTAACTTAAAAACTTGTCCGATTTTAGGCTTTGAGTGATTTTTGAGATATATATGTTTTATGAAGTATAAGACTACCCCGGGCACCTGTCACTGCTGACTGCATTAAAATACAATTATATACAGAAGCAGACAACTCCCTAAATTTAAGTAGTCAAGAAAACTAAAAATTTCATTTCTTTGGTTCTTGGAATTATGGTTCATGGTCATGAACCAAATAAAAAAAACCTTCATTGTCAGGGTATCCAACCTACATGAAGAAGACCAAATGATTGTTTTAAACAAGAATAGATATGGGTTACCCCATATCCAAGATATTCGACTTTTAATTTATTCGAATTTTCATTGTGTTCAGATGATTTCTAATAAAAAAACAAGTATTTACTGACAAAACGTCAGAGATACTCGAGCTGTAGAAAGTCAACTATAAAAGTGCCATATACATAAATATCCTAAAATGACATAATATTTAGGCTACTGAGTTTCAACATCTTTTGTTGAATAAAATATGCATATAGTAGGAAACAAACTGCGTGTACATATATAACGTTACTTGCATGTAGTGACTTTATCACAAAGTTGCACATGCATAAAAATAGTTTTAATTTCACATAGAACATAAACTAAATATAATTAATCGTATAATTTTAAAAATGTATTTAACGCCTCACTCATTTTCAGGAATATTTAATCCAAATAGCATGTTACAGGCCTATAGCAACGTTTTCAAAGTGAAGGGGGGGGGGGGACTCCCAAAAAATCCCGCGTACTATGGGCCTGTGCTACATGTGTACCATCTAACTTTCCAATGATAGAATCTTCTGTAAAAAGAAAAATCAAAACAAGTCCAAGCCGTTATGGATTATCAAAGATAGCCCATTTTTATAAATAGCAAAACTATAGATCTATCAAGGATAGATTTTAATTTATTTTTTGATTTTGTGCTATTAAAAAGTACTATCACTCAAAGTATAGGCAGATGTTAAAGATGGTCCAACCTGTCACCTTTTAGAGTAATCAATGAACTCGTCCAGTGATGCATTGACGGCCGTTGTCAAACGCAAAGGAAAGCGCGAGATCGGTTGTGGCTATGGAGCATCACTGAATATTCCTCCACCATATACTGATTTTGAATATACAGACGTTTTGAAGATAAACTTCATTTTTGTTTCTAGAAATGTTTTTATTTACAAAAATAGTACATTTTCGTGTTAGATCGATGACCATAACTCAGCCCCTCTAGCCCAGTCTAGGGCTTCACCTGGAGTAAAAAACCTGCACTTGTTATGAAACTGGTGTATAGTTCTAAACTTCTTTATGTCCGTAGCAAGTACTGATACCCAGTCTACTGATCTAAGCGTCACTAGGGAACGGTGCACACACCTGTTCTTGCAAGACCAAATAGCCTAGGTCTACACACGTGCGAAGATCTTTCCGAGCTCGGAAAATCACGTTGCTTTGCCGAGAAGTGTTTAACCATAATAACCATTCCGTTATTTAAAAAAAGAGAGAAAAAACACACACACAGTTAATGATTAACATTCTAACTCAAAAGAAAATATACGGCAATTAACGAACAGTAATCATGACAGTAATATAATTGGTGAAAAGATTTATCATTATCAATCGAAGTGTGACCTATATATTTTCGTGAAAAAGACTGAGGAGGCAGCGAGCGTAGGAATATGAAAACTTTTTATTTGCTTTTCTGGGGAAAAAGTGATTTTCTTAAAATCTTTTAACGTTAATTTTGTTTTCTTTAACGTATTAAATATACTTGATTATTCTTAATATTTGTTGTAATGTTTTATCTACTGATCATGAATGGAACTATTTTCTTTGGAGCAATTGTGTGAAGAGTACCTGACTTTAGTAATATATCTTGAATAGATAATATGCACTGATCGAATATATTAAAAATACAAAATTTTATTTAGGAGCATTTAATTACAGCCTTAAAGGAATTAGGAAGTAATTGTAGGGATCAATGTATATTTTTGTGTAGTTTATTTTTTTCTGTCATTATCATATTGTGTGTCCAATTTTAGTGCAATTACTTTCCGAAATTGTAAGAGATGTTTGATTGATATGTGTCTTTTAGATCACTGTTAGATGGTTTGAGGTGCATTGGAAAGAGTGGTCAGAGAGAAAAACTTTAATAAAAAAATAGAATAATAAATCATACATTATAACACATACATTATAACAACCAAAATGAGTCCTTAGATGCACTTGATATTTGAAGATAATCCAGAGCCTAATAAAACAATATTGATAAATTGGCACCTTAGCCATACCTGTGAGTAAATGACTCTCTGGAAGTCAAACCCATGTGATGTTTGCTTTCACTGAATGCAATTCTTTTATGTCATACAGCCTTCAATGTAGAAGACATATATTCATTTATATTTTTCTAAGATATTCACAATTCTAAGGAATTGAAAAGAGAAACTGTTGGCATTCCTTTTAAAGGAAGTGATCGGAAAGTGTAATATTCAGATGTCAAGCTTGTGGCCTATGTAATGGCACAGAATGTATAGAACAGTCAATAAAAGTTTACCTAATAAATGAATGAACCAATGTACAGGGTGTTTCATAATATATGTTACATTTTGAATCTTCAATTTCACAAACACAAGAAAAAGATACAGACAAGTGTTTTTATCAACTTGATGCATGTATCTATATGATTCATTATGTACAATTACCAACTTAAATATTACACATTGGACAAAATCTCAAACATTAATGAAAATTAGTGAAATTTCTAAATTACGTTATTTATGTTACGTTGAATTTCACAACGTCAAACGCCCACATTACATGTTCTAAATGATCTCCACTATTTCAACTACAAATGAAAGTTGCTTCTCGAAATTTGTATAACCTTGTCACACATTTTTGCTTAGACAATCCTCATTTGATGGATAATTTTTCTTTTGAGCTCATTCAGTTTCTAGTCTAGGATTGTAGACCATGTTCCTAGAGAACCTTACAGAAAAGGGCACAAAGATTGAGATTGGCGAATGCAGAGATCAAACTTTTTTCTTGGGGCTTTGCATTATTGAAAATTTGTACGCTGATAACTTCATGTCATATTTCAAAGTTCAATATATGCTGGAAATGCTGATACATGTATTGCCATGATCAATTTCTGAAAACATTTATCTGACACTTTTCTCAGGAATTTGCTAAACTATCTAAGTCTCCACTCCACCATTTAAATCTTCGGTTATTGAATTCCTCAGGCTTTCTGGAGTACCGTGTCATTAATCGCATCTTACCCTTGTCCCTGTCCTTTATCCTTGTTACTAGCCTTCTGATAAGCATCCTAAAAAGCTTCCATTCCTTTGGAATATTTCCTCCAACTTCTGAATGAATATTGGCGACATATATTGCAAAAAAAAAAAAAAAAAAAACAGCTTTGCAATTCAGTAATATGTTGATAAGTCCATTTCAAAAAAAATTCAAATATGACATCGGCGTTTATGTCACAAAAAATCATTGTGATGCCATGATTTCCTTGACTTCTTCGCATGGAATAAAAATGCAGGATTTGATGTTTAAAATGATATATAGCTTGTAATAGAATTATGATAGGTAAGAAAAATAATTAGATTTTAAAATGTAACATATATTATGAAACACCCTGTGTGAGTTTGACTTACTTAAAACAGCAATAAGAAATGATCAAACTTCACTCTAAATGGAAATGGAATACTTCCTTTTTGAGAGTTAATGAAATTCTTGCACATACAAAGAAAAGTTTATTCACCATGTGACTATATAAACATTTGTTTCTCAAAGTAAATGAATTAAATAGAAAAGCTTCTAAGTACTTAACATTTTATGATAGATTTGCATGAAGCAGTTGGTGCATAGTAAACAAAAGTAGTCTGTCATGTTGTGTGCTCAAATGGTTACACTTGCCATATATATATAGATCTACCTCACATGGAATCAACAGTGATCCGCTAAAGCTGATCACAAAGATGAGAACATAATGAAATTTTATTACCTTGCCTTTTTGACAATAAAATATTGAAGATTTTGTACATTTTTTTTTTAACCTTTAGTGGGATTTTTCAATGCAAAAGAATTTTATTCATGTTATTATTTAAGGGACTTAACTACACATTACAGAAACTAGGCATCATGTCAGAACACCCTTGCCATAATCTCAGCAATACAGAGAAACAGATCTTTACATGTCGCCATTGCATGGCCAAGTTCTATGACCCTATTCAAAGATGGCGTCATAGTAAGAGCTGCAAAAAAGAAGCTCCACCAAAAAGCAAAGATGTATCGCCATCACCAAATGGTACAAGCAAAAGGGAATACCCTGCAGAGGTAAATATGAAATTTCATTTTGTAAGTATATATGCATGCAAACATTGCTATGTAGTTGTTCGATTCATGCCATGCCCCTAAACATTTTTTTTTTTTACTTTCAGAATTATATTTTAATCTGTAAAATATTTGTCTTCAGAACTACAAGGTTACAAATTATCAAATTAAACATACACCATACAAGGATCCCCATGTATCATGTGTATCAAATATTTTGACTCATTTAAATTAAGGGTCCTAAGGTAGGGCCATGCCATAAAATGGGTCTAGCAAGTAGATGTAAAATTTAATATTCTTTTTCCAGAAACTCAGGCTACAAATTGTCAAACTGCACAAAAATTATAATTATGTTCTGAATTTTTTCGAATCTATTTTAGTGAAGTTTAGGGACGGGAGGAGTCATTGTCTACTTAACTGTAATATAAAAGATTTTTTAATCATCCAGAGATTAGGACTACAAATTTGAATGATCCCAATGCAGTGTAAATTCAGATTTCCACAGACCTTCAAAATTTTGACCAAGGGCCTTTGATATTGTGCTCAAGTTTTACAAAAAAGTAGATTAAAAGCAGAAACAGGTGACTTTAAAGGCCCATGGAAAGATGGTTTGTTAGTATATGAACATGTAGTAGATTCAGTCATATAAGATGTTTTGTAAGTGTAATTATTCCCGATTACTGTGCAGCTTTATTTTCTTGTTCTTCAACTTTTGCTAATTTCTCAGTAAAAAGGACCCCAAACTGTAATTGTCAAATTTTGTTTTATTTTAAAATTAAAATTAAAATTTTATCATGTTTATATCAAATTCAAAAATAATTTTAAAAAATATTTTTCATGTTTGATGCCATTGAAGCTTTTCAGGCTATTGATTTTTATTTAGAATGTATATTTTTCATTGTGTATACTGTGTACATTAGGGCTCGACATTAATGCTTGTCCGCTTCTCCGGTACCAGTGAAAAAAAATTACGGACAAGTGAATATTGTTGGGCACTTGTCCGATTGGACAAGTGCATTTTAATGTAAAGTAGTCTCTAAATAATTAAAAAAAAAAAAGACTGTTGAAAGTTAATTGGTAGTTTCAAGACGGAAGCTGTACATAAAAACGGTACTTCGATCCCAATAGGGATCGCTATTAATTGAGTTCACATTCGATCGGGATCGAAGTTCACTAATTGCATACTACTGAAAAGACATGGAACTTACGAACTTGACGAAGTTTGGTTCACTTGTGGACATTTATGTTGTTGTCAGACCAGAAAGACCAGATAAAATTTCCTTTTATGTGTTTGTTGTATTCATCAATAACATCTCGAATCAATCAAGCACATGTCATGTGTAATAGACTTAATTTTAGTTTTCCAGTTGACAGTATTAGATATTTATTGAAAATTTTTCGGACAAGTGAAATTGAAGTTCGGACAAGTAAATGTCTTGGTCACTTGTCCGAATGGACAAGTAGGAAAAAAAGTTAATGTCGAGCCCTGTACATATAAAATGATTTACTAAAACTAAAATCACAAGTTCAATGAAGAGCAAACACAGGTTTTTTTGGAAATTGTAAATAAACCTGATTGAAATCAAAGCTATAAACAGTATAAATCAAAGAATGTTAATAATAGTATTTTCAGTAGTTACAATTTTCAAACTCTTGTCATTTAAAGCATGCAGCAAAAGCCGGGACAAGCAAAAAACGACAGAAGAAAGAAAACCCTCTCAACTGTCTCATTTGTAAATCTGTCTTCAACACCCTTGAAGAGATGAAAGAGCATGTCAAACAGCCATGTAACAAGCCATTTGTTCCAAAATCCCAGTCACTGGGACAACCCAATCCAGATTTAGAGAATTTTGAACATCAACTTCAACAGCTACGGGATGCAAAGGGGGATGATATTGCCACCAATCAAATTGAGTCGTTGCTGAAAGCAGCTCAAACTTTGCACAAGCAGCAACAGGAGCAACAAAGGCAGCAAGCACAGCAGCTACAGAGTCAGTATATATTCATTTATCAAGAATTACAGTTAAACTTCAGTATCTCATACACCAATTTCTTGAATACCATGGATATGTTGAAGTGATTTGGAAGTCCCAACCACTTCTTCGAGTATTTTACCCTTGATATACTCTCAGATATCTTGAAGTTTTTTATTGGTCCCATCAAGTTTGAGATAATGGGGTTTGACTGTTTGGAATGTATAACTGTCCATCCCTTTGTTTTTCTGTCTGTCTAGAAAAAAATATTCTCGAAGTTTTATGGTTGTGCAACCTTGCATATTTGTACTTCAGTTTGCATGGATATATCAGTCATTCTACAAAAACATGACCAATTAAGAATTTTTCATGATGCTTGCAAATTTACCGTTGTAATATCTTAATTATAAATCTAAAGGTCGATTTCAGCTCTAAGACTTAAAATACACACATGGTTTTGTAAATATTCACCGATATTTATGCAGTTAAAGTTTTGATATGAACATAATGTAATGTTGAAAAACATATTCCACTGCAAATCTTAATGTCACTTCATTTATATACAAATTTCAAGATGAAATTTTCAGCCGTAAAATCGTTTCGAATAGAGTGCAATGAATGTAAAAAAATGTCTTTTATCCTATATAAAAAGAAATCAAACCACTTCTCGCAAAGAAATGTATAGATCTCCTTTCATGCGAATTTATAAGCATGTCGCTTAAAATCGATTAACTTCCGTAATGATTTTGTTTTAAATTTCACGCATAGAATGCAGATTTCAAAAAGAACTGAAACTTATCTGAAAGTGACCACGGAACCTTATATCATCGATTCTAGTTGCGAGTCAGCAATTTTACACGTTTACATTTTCGACATAATAAAATGAATTAAACAAAAACAGTTGTCTCTCTTAAAAAATTAACTTCCGTAACGGTAATTCAGGAAAGTTTTTGCATTTAAGGTATAAAATTTTTGATCATTTTGGGAGCGAAATGCTTCATACTTTTGTTTAATACCCTAAACCAAACTTTGATTTTAACTATTGTAGAGAATTTTAACTTTAATTGCTGGGAATTAACTTCCGTAACGATTAACTTCCGTAACGATATTTTTCCCGAAAATTTAATTTAAATTCGGATTCATGCGAGACTTCATGAATCATACTTAAGTGTTCTTTACTGAACATCAGAAACGAAAAATTGGTCAAATTCAGCTTTGTTTAAAAATAATAAGGCTTGATCAAGCATTAACTTCCGTAACATTACCTTAAAATCAATGGTATCTTGAAATTGTTGTAAAAAGTTAACGGTATCAAATTTGTGGACAATTCTTTGTTTTCAAGTTCACTGATAGGTCCTTTAGAGAATTATGATGTTCATTTTGCTATTTGAAACAATTATTTTTTTTCATGTTTTTACTCTGAATTGGTCCATTTATCGTAGAATGACTGATATAGGTATGAGGACTGTTATGCAGACACAATGATTTATGGGATATTTATTGTGTATGTATGAACATTGATGAAGATTGACATATGTTTCATTGAATTTTTTTATCTTATATTCATAAATATGCAAAAAATCTGGTGCATTTGCTAAATTTTGAAAATATACAATAAAATGAATTTTAATCTGGGCCATTAGGGTCATAATATGCACAGAGCAACCACTTGAAATTTCTTGACATTAGGTGGCATGACAACCTGATTTCAAACCTGTTGTCCTTTTCATATGTTTTTTTAAATATCTTTCATTTGAACAGACTCTTCATGTTCTTTTTAAGATATCTAGGGATTTAAGATATCAAGGTTGAAATACATTTGAGAAAAAGTGGTTGGGACTTCCCAACTCACTTCAACATATCCCTGGTATTTGAGATATTAGTGTTTGTGATACCGAATTTCAACTGTATTTTGTAGATGTTGAAACCGAGGTGATACCAGATGGAGGTAATCCAGATTGGTTGTATAACCAGGGTGAACCAGTGTTGTGTAGTATGGAAGAATATGGAGGACCTGGATTTCCTAATTACTCCTCCATAGATGGATCAGATGGGGTAAGTATATTTACATTGGCATGAGAGGTCTATGTTAATGAAAAAGAGGGGGGTTACCAAAATAAATATAAATAATATATAAAAAAATATATATAAAATTGTATCTTTACTTACCTCTGATGTACACTCAACAAAAAAAGTTAAGGGCCAAGTAGAGAAATTTATTTTATGCAAGATATTTCGTAAATCTAGTGGAAACAAATGATACATTAAACGTTAAACAATAATAAATTTCCAATAATGAACAACTGAACAACATGCAGTTGGAAAAACAAGGAGAATATCCAACAACACAAGATTTCAAAAGGAAAACCAAACAGGGCTTTGAGGGTTTTAATGCATGAACAGTCCAAACTTTCTTTTCAGTATCTTGTGTGACCACCTCTAGCCCTTATCACTTCCCTGCATCGATTTGGAAAACTGTTAATTAAATTCCGGAAGTTATCCTGGGGAATTCTTGACCATTCCTCAACAAGAGCAATTTCAAGTTCACGGAGCGTGTTAGGCTGGTTTTGCCTTTCTAAAATTTGTTTCTGGAGCATGTCCCATGTATGCTCTATTGGATTAAGGTCAGGCGATTTTGCTGGCCAATCCATTCTCTCGATTGTTTCCTCTTCCAAATAATGGTTGACCACTCTCGCACGGTGGGGCCTGGCATTGTCATCCATCAAAATGAAATTATCACCGATAGCGCCAGCGTAAGGTCTTACAATAGGTGCAAGGATCTCATCCCTGTAACGGACACCGGTGAGAGATCCATTCCTTATGACATAGAGGTCTGTGGAACCGTCGTAACTTATACCTGCCCAAACCATGACTGACCCACAACCAAACCGGTCACGTTCAGCAACGCAACAGTCCCTGAATCGCTCGTTTTTCTTCCTCCACACACGCCTACGGCCATCATTGAAATCTAGACAAAATCTGGATTCATCAGTCCATAACACTCCTTGGATATGATGATGGTCCCAGTTGACATGGTCTTGAGCAAACTGGAGGTGACGGTTGCGATGCTCCACGGTCAAAGGTGGGCGCACTGCAGGTCTTCTGGCACGCAATCCCGCATCATGAAGTCTGTTTCGTAAGGTTTGTGCGGAGATCCGTATACCTGTTGCTACTGTCAGCTCTCTGTTGAGTGCAACTGCTGATGACATTCGATTTCTCTTGGCAAGTAGTGCTATTTGTCTATCTTGTCTGACAGTTGTACTTTTTGGGCGACCACTTTTAGGTCTCCGTTTGACGCTATTAGTCTGTTCATATCGTTCCAACAAACGTCCGATTACAGAATGACTTACACCCAGTTGCGCACCAACTTGACGTTGTGAGCATCCAGCTTCTAGCATTCCAATGGCCCTTGCGGCTTCCTCTACTGTCAGATGTCTTCTTTGAGGCATGATAACTTACTAAAGGGCAAAAAGCAAGTAATATTAGACAAATAGTCGAATCTTGTTCCTTTTGAAGTTTGCCAGTGTGTATACAAGACAACCAATATCACAGGAATGTGGATAATGCCAAACTTTCAATAACCGAAAATCCCGAGAAAAGAGCACAATTCAAGAGTGTGTTTGAATAACAATTCATGAACATGTATGGAAACCCAGATAAGGCAAAAGATACAACATAATATAGTCACAGTTTTTAAAATTTTTAAAAAAATTAAGTGGCCCTTAACTTTTTTTGTTGAGTATATTTGCATGAAGTATACATTCAAGCTTAATATACAAATTAGATGAAGTCAAACAGTGCATTATTTTGATTTATTTTTAGCTCACCTGAGTCAAAGGCTGGGGGGGGGGGGGGTAAAGGACTTAAGTGGGCCACAACAGGAAGTCTAAGTTATACATGTGAATATATAGGAAATATTCTTAAAATCTTCTCAAGAACAGCAAAGCCATGATAAATACATATTTATATGGAGGCATCCTCAGGTAATGTAGATTCCAGTTTGTTCAAATCATGACCCAGGGGTAGGGTGAGGCCACAACAGATCAAAGTTATACATAGGAGTATATAGGAAATATCTTTAAATGTCTTTAAAAATCTTGTTCTCAAGAACAGCAAAGCTATGATTACTCATATTAATACAGAAGCATCCTCAGGTAGTTTAGATTTAAGTTTGTTCAAATCATATCCCCTGGGAGTAGGGTGGGGACACAATAGAAGATCAAATATTTACATAGAAATATATAAGAAAAAAATCTTTAAAAATCTTCTAAAGACATGATTAGTCAGAGAAATATGGAGGCATCCTCAGTTAGTGTAGGTTCAACTTTACTTCCAAATGACCTCCCCCAGCTTTAGGCAGTAGTTTGGGACCAGTTACTGTAAACGTGGTTATTTTGACGAGTTGAAAAATTGACGATTTTTTGTTTACGAAAATTGACGAGTGTTAATTTTGACGAAATATTTAATCAAGAGTTATGTATATCTTTGATTTCACAAGATTAAAACAAAAATGAATACAAAGAACTCCTTAAAAAAAAAAAGTTTCAAAACTAGTACTCAGAGTAAGTTCGCCAGAAGCTAGAGGACCAAACACTTGATGGAAACATTGGCTCAGTTTACTTGAGAACGTCACTCTACGATTAAGCCGTAGATCTGTGCGAGTTCACGATGTTATAATAAGCATGCAAGGACCGCGACTTCCTCGGGAACTCATTTACAAGCGTTCTCATCAATAAAATTTAATTTTGCTTGTAAAAACCATCTACAGTGTATAAGATTTGATTGAATTAATTGCTCTTTGTACTAGTCTTTGTTTTCATTATACGAGACCGATTGCCTGAGGTGACAAAGTAGGTCAAACACGGCGTGATAATTACGCAAAGTTAGAATGTTGTGACCATGGGTAATAATAGTATATGACATACTCAACGGTTTTTAAAACTGTGATTATATGTTTTCATAACTATTTACAAAAAAATAAACAGTAACCTTGATCTAGTTTTAATGGGGGAAGCCGAGAAAATTAAGCGATAAAGTTGTACAACGGTCAATATGTCTGGTGTGACGCTATATATATGATATGAAGTTTGACGAGTGGAAATTTTGACGAGGAAAGAAAAATCGTCAATATAGTCAAAATTAGCACATCGTCAAAATTTCCACGTTTACAGTATGTGGATTGATTGTAAAGTAATATCACAACTGCTATAAAATATTTAGTAATCGAATGTTATCAACAAAATTTTATATACTTATATCTCTATTTATTTTGAGAAAAACTTTTGCCTTAGAATTTCATTTAGATATATGCAGTACTTTTTCAAATATTAAAATAAATACAAGGTTGGGTCTCGTCTATTGCCACACGTATGGCAAGGATGTTATCAATGTCGTTATGGTGTTTCTCTTCGGCACTCATTTTCTGTTCGTCTGCATAAAAGATCTACGCAAGAAGAATGAATTTAAAAATAACATTTAAACAAAGTTCATATAATTTTGATACAACAACTCAAAACAAGACGATTTATAGCAAAATTGCAGTTAAATTATTAAAAAGAACCATGTGAGATGTTTAATCAGATATGTGGATGAACTGAAAATAAGTGTGGAAAGGGATGCACACTACCACTGATGAATCTTGCTTTGAATGTTTCTGAACTACATTTTCCATATGAGTGAAGAGTGAATAGGTTAAAGCTGAAGGCTCAAGTGAGCTTTTCTGATAAAAAATTGTCTGTTGTATGTCACTGAAGGTATCATTATCATCATTGTAAACTTTTCACATTAATTTGCAGCCAAGATAGGGAATGAAAGTTTTGCACAGGAATATATATGAAAAAATCTGTAAAAATCTTCTGATGAAGAACAGCAGAGCCACCTTAATATAGTGGAGAAATTATGGCCTTCGGGTGATACCCCATTTGGGGATCAAAATTTTATATATGTAAACATCCTCAGTTAGTGCAGATTGAAGTTTGTTCTAATCATGGCCCGTGGGGATAGGAAATAGCCACAAACCATGACCTTGGGAATTAGGTTGGGCTAAAATAAGGGATCAGATATTCATTTGGAATATCAAGAGGGAAAAAAACTTAAGAGTACATACATATTTAAGGCCCTTGGTTTTTAGAAAGGAGTATGCATTTTACATTCGAATATATAGGATTTTTTTTCTCCATATTTGAGAGTAGCAGGATGACACCAAATCACATTGATATGTAAACATTCCTATTACATTTCCTATATCATGTTTCAACTTTGTTAGAATTATGGACACATGACTTTGGTAGGTTAAAATTGGGGATACAATTTTATATAATACATGTACATGTATATTGAGGAGAACAATAAAAAATCTTTTTGTAGTACAGGCTTCAGGGCCATGAAACTAAGATGAGCTTACTTTTGATCTCAGTCTCACTTTTACCAATGCAAAGGAATTAATAGTGGAAAAGTGAGACTGAGATCAAAAGTGAGCTCGTCTGAGTTTTATGGCCCCGGGACCAGAATTTCAAGGCCATGTTTGTCACATTGATATTCAGAATCCCCGCTTATTGTGGATTCAAGTTTGATGAAGCCATAACCTATTGAGGCTAGGATGGTTTTGTTTGTTTCTTTCTTGTTGAACGTCCCTCTCGAGAATTTTTCACTCATATGGAGACACCACCACTTGCTGGTGGAGAGCTGCAAATTTTAACCTATACTCGGCACTCAGGGCCATTGAGCAGTGAGGGATCTTTTTCATGGAGTCATATTGTGGTGACAAAATTTTTCACTGGATTGTAGAGGGGAAAAAACTCTTCTGAAGAACATCAGAGTGAAGGTTACTCAGGTGGATGTTGTTATACATTTTATAAACTATGTGTGCAGATGTCAAATACGGGATCAATAAACAAAGCAACTTTTGATTACATGATAGGCCAATAAGAGCTTAATATTTAAACTTATAAAAAGCAAAGAGACAAACATGGATCTTGACTGCAATTTGTATAGTGATGATTACAGCATATTAATTTACCTCTTTTCCTTTTTTTAGAGGACATAGAAAAAAATATTCTTCCATGGTATTATGTTGATAAAAATTTATTGTAAATTTACTCTATTTATGTAACAGATGCATGTGGTACGAGTTGAGCAGGTATCCTCAACTCCCCCCATTGACGAGGATCGTAGTCTCCATACACCTCCCATAAGCCTCACAACAGAGGAGTATCACCAACTACCTTCTCAGGAAATCACCTTGACCTCGTCTGGGCAAGGTCAGACTTAATTCAGACTATTATATCTTCCCTCCCTTCATTTTCCCAAATATTTTCATATCATGTAAGAATTAATTTATTTTAACAGAAGCATTTGTAAACCATGCTCCAACGACACTTTGTGGACCAGTTAACGTCAACACTGAGAAAGGCCACCTGCAAGCTTCATTTGAAATTTGCAAAAACAATACACAGGGATGCTCATCCAATGACGAGTACATCCTTTCAACTGTTGGAATAGTTGAAAACTTGCAGCCACAGGTATGCAGAATGCAATTTATCAAATTATCTGTTTGTTAAGAACAATTCAGGCTTTGAAGACCATTGAAGTTTGCAGTGAAGAAGCTTGCTGCAGCAATTAAAATGTAAATTAATTTTTGTTTTATAAAAATGAAATCCTGAGTTATGTCTTAGTCCAAAGGGTGGAAATGAGAAAAGAAATATATTTCTATATATACAGATATAGAATTAAAACGTTTGAATTTTTTTGCCAATTTTCTAACTCATAGATGAACTTTCAATTGTGAATATGAACAAAATGCATGTTTGACATGCAAAATTAATTTTATCCTTTTGTGTTTTCATTAAAAACATCCATGTATTTCCCCAACAGTATTCAAATATCAAGTAACCTCTGAAAGGGGCCTGGACACAGTTGCATTGTTTACAATTTTAAATGTCTATTCTTATTCAAAAAATCACCTAGGTTTAATGATTTGAACTTACATGAATATTCTAAGAATTCAGTGACAAAGACTTTCTCCATAACATCAGGTCAAACTCCTGTGTTTGTAAACAGACCATGAGCTCTTTCATTGTGTTTATGTTTTACTGGGTGTGTTCAATTTGTTTAGTTTGCACACATCACTGAGCACGGACTGACAATACTGGTGAGCTGGTTTTGCTTTCTCGCATTTCTACTCTGAACTTTCTGGATTATAGTTTTCATATTTTTCATTGATACACAACAAAATTTCTTCTTTTAAGTGTTATGGATAAAATCTACTTTGTGAGATGCAAGGATATATGTCAATCAAGCTTGTCCCAAAAAATTTAGTTTTAATAATTTCCAGATAAAAGAATTTACTTAACACACTTCTAATATATTTCTTTGTGAAATGCTCTAGTAACATATAAGTCATCATATTATTTAGAAAATTTTAGAAAATGTGAACTTCAAATCTGTGTCCAAGCCCCTTTACACATGTACGATTTTTAGGTCACCTGAGTTTACTCAGGTTACTTATTGCTATCTTTTTTTGTCCGTTGGTGCGCATTGTCCATCTTGCGTTAACATTTGAACATTTTCAGCTTTTTCTCTGGAACCATGGAACCAATTTCAAATTTGGCATATAGCATCTGTGGGCGAGAGGGAGTAAAAATTGTGAAATTCATGACCCTTACCCTCTTGGTGCCTGAGGAGTGGGGCTAAAACCATCAAAATTAATGCAATCTTTAAAAATCTTCTTCTTTACTCCTGGACATCAAGCAGGCAAACTGTTTGCATGATTGTTATAAGCATTGAGCCCTCTACATGTACCTAAATTGTGAAATTCATAGCCCCAGGTTCAGGGGTTCTGCTGCTAGGGCAGAGCTCTGTTGAATATATAGTAAAAATGCATTATTTCTGTAAAAATCTTCTTCTCTTATCCAGGGCAAACAAACTGAATGCATAGTTATGATGAGTAAGGGTGCCTCTTCGTACTTAGTGAATTTCATGGTCCCTGGATCAGGGGTTCTGGTGTTAGGACGGGGCTTTAATGATTACTAGTAAAAATGCAATAAATCTTTGACAATCTTCTCCTTTTCTCCTGGGTATTAAGCCAATGAACTAAGAGTATAGTTATGATGAGTAAGGGTGCCTCTTCCAAAATTGTGAATTTTATGGTCCCTGGGTCAGAGTTCTGGTGTTAGAGCAGGGCTCTAATGATTACATAGTGAAAATGCATTAATTCTTTGATAATCTACTTCTCAGTTCCAGGGTATTCAGCAAACAAACTGAATGCATAGTTATGATGAGTAAGGGTGCCTTCTCCAAAATTGAGAATTTCTTGACCCCAGGGTCAGGAGTTCGGGTGTTAGGGCAGGGCTCTAATGATTACATAGTAAAAATGCAATAATTCTTTGAAAATCTTTTCTCCTGGGTTCTAAACCAATGAACTAAGAGTATAGTTATGATGAGTAAGGGTGCCTCTTCCAAAATTGTGAATTTTATGGCCCCTGGGTCAGGGTTCTGGTGTTAGGGCAGGGCTCTAATGATTACATTGTGAAAATGCAATAATTCTTTGATAATCCTCTGCTCTGCTTCTGGGTATTAAGTAAGCAAACTAAATGTAAAGTTTTGATAAGCAAGTGTGCCTCTTTCGAAATTGTGAATTTCATGGCCTCTGGTTTAAAACGTGAACCCAATTTAATTGTTGCAAAGTTGTTACATGATACTCAGGTAACCTATAAGGCCCGTGGGCCTCTTGTTAATTTTCATGAATGAAAACAAATCTAAGATGTTTGAAAACTTTTATTAATTTTCATTGCAACAGACTATGGCCACTCAGGAAGAACTGAACACTACTAGTGTTAATCCTGTTGTTCTGCCTAGTGTTTTGCCAAGTGTTAATCCAGGTGTTATTCCTAGTGAAGTCAGGCTAGTGGGAAGTGATGGTGTGACAGTCACAGTGGTCCTTTCTTCTGACACATCCAGTGAGGTGGTGCAGAAAACAGGAAATCCAGTGGATGAGTTTGATCTCATTTCACAGGTATCTGTTAATACTCATTTTCTTGTAGAGTGACTGTACATATATTTGTATATGTATTTATAATTGTCTTTACTTTAGGTTTTAAATGATGTCTAAATATGAAAGGAAATAAGATATAGTGCATGACATATGATGTTTTACAATGTGTAATGAAAACATGAAGTAAAACTGCTATGTAATGGAATATGATGTCCATCAGCATGATTGTGATATTGTCGGACTCCTTGACATAACCAAATGAAATAAATCTGGTATAATTTCATTTTCTCTTTGAGTAGGTTATAGGTGAAGATTTGAATGAACAAAGGCCAGTTGACGAAAAATCCAGAAAAGATTCATGTAATTCAAAAATTGCTGACACAGCAACAAATTGTGATGCAAACAAAGCACCAAAGTTCAGTTTTTCTCCTGTTTCTAATTTTGTTGAGCTTAAAAACTCTGCAGAAAGTGAGCAAGCAGTTGCAAGTGAACAAGGCACCTTAACTGAAGAAAGAAAATATTCTAATACCTCTGAAAATTTGAAACACAGTGCTGATGTCAATGAACTAGCCACCATTAATAGTAATGGTGAAGATAAACTAAAATCAAAAGAATGTTTAAATTCCCAAAATGATGAACAAATTATTGGGTATCATTTAGAGCAATTAACTTCAGCAGCAGCAGTAAACAAATGTTTATCAAATGGCGAAAAAGAGTCAAAAAATGAAAATTCTTCTAACTTTCAAGAAATTGAAAAGAATCATGACTGTGAAAATCAAAAAGAAGTTCAAAATGAAAGAGATCATAAACTAGAATCTGATTCTCAAATCCCTTCAAAGGCAAAAAATTCTGAAACATATGTCAAGTCTGTATCTGAAGTGAAAGTGATCAAAAAGAAACCCAGAACTGAACGAATTCCAAAGTGTAGAGTTTGTGATAAGCAGTTCAAAACAACTGAGCTGCTTCGAAAACACAATAAAGTTCCATGCATGATAAGACTGACAAGGAATCTCACACAGAAAGTGTTGAGGCCAAAGAGACTAGAGAAACCAGTGCCTCTACAAACAAAGAAAAAGAAGAAACAGAAACCAGTCCCAAATAAGCCAAAAATGATCACACTTATTAACAGAAGGTTTTCAGATACCAGTCTAGATTTCAGAAAGGACAAAAAAGGAAAGTTGAAGACAAGAAGGAAATCTTTGTATGACTTTAACTTCTGCATAACAAGAAGTAGTGACTATAGAAATGCAAGTTTAGACGTTTTAGTACAGTATGACTCTCTAGATGAGAAAGAACAGCATTTCTTTCATTTAGGTCTTGTTGCAAAAGTTCATCTACCAACAGACTACAAGACTCCAAAGTCTCTTATCAAACATGTTTTGAAAGAAAATGGGTCTCGGGTATTACAGGATGTTGTAGAAGAAGAAGATGTGCATTCTCTAATAGATGAACCCCCAGTTTTGGAGAAAGTAGTTGATGCAGTGGGCAGAATACAGGAGGATATCTACATTTTGAGGGATGAAATCAACCATGATATAGAACCACCTGTTCTGATGACTGTAGAAGAGTTAAATAGAAGTTGTCCAAGTGTTGAAGAAGGTAGTTCACTGGCAGTCTTGGAATGCCCATCTTTAAGTAACTCGGATGATATTCACTTTAATAGCACCAAGGGGCCTATGAAGGATAATGTCAATAACACTAATGAACTTAATAAGGAGAATAATTTTGAGCGTGAAAATGTTTTAGTAAAATCACAACTGACTGAACAAAATTCAAAACCTTGCACCCCAAGCAAAGTTGAAAATTCATCTGAGAAATTTCCTACGACAGAAGTTGTGTCACCCCTAAAATCTCCAAACAAAACTCTTGGTGAAAGACATTTCTTAGATGCAATAGATGTATCAAGTGACACGTTTTCAGATGAATCAGAATTCACTAAAACCAAGCTAAAAGATGATGCCACAAAGCCTTCATATAGTGTGACAGTGGGATTGCAGACAGACATACCAACAGCAACAGATAAAATCATGTATCCAAGATCCTCTTTCATCCTGAAGTGCCTTAAGAGGTTGGAAAATAAGCACAAAAATGTTCCAAACCCTAAACCCTTGACTCAAAAACAGAATTCAGGAAGGAAAAATTTATTTGAAAGTCTGGAAAATGTTTCTAGAGATTCAAAAACTGTTTGCAAGTCTAATAACATTACTTATCACAAAGAAAACCAGAGCAAAAATTTAACACAATCTTGCAGTGAAAAAAGAGATACTTCTGACAATGCTGTAGAAGAAGTCATAGTGTATCCAAAACCAGTTGACCCCAAAAATTTAGAACATAACAAGCCAACTTTTACAATTCCTTCAAATGAAGAGATTTTAACATATGCAGATGACGATGTTGTAATTAGAAAACCACCCGAGCTAGATTCAGTTAGTCCAGAGAATGGGAGGGATCTTCTTCAGATCATTGCAAAGACTCTAGGGATCTTTCCATCAACAAAACCCAAACATCAAGAGAGTCATTTGAATGAAACGCCAAAGAGATGCAAGGAAAAGTGCCAAGAAGATGTAGCAGACCAGAAAGGTGGAATGCAGATAATTGTCATGAATAATACAGCTGAGTCTAATGAATATACCATGGGTATTGATGTCATAAATGTTCCCAAAAGCATCAATGATGAGCTGAAGGAAGCTGTATCAGAGTTAGAAAATAAAGTTGTCTTTGAAGATGATGGATCTCAAAGGCTTCATTTCTGTGATGATAGTGCAGCTTTGGTTGGAGGACACTCTGTACAGCAGGGAGTAGGAACAAGCCATAACGTACCAGGGGATATATCAATACCTGAAGAAGTTTATGAATTTCTTGAAGATTACAACACTATTCAACCCAGTGCTTCTAAAACTGATCAAATACCTACATTTGTAACCCAGGATAATACAGTCAATAACAGCATTCATCTGATACCTGGTCCTCAAGTTAAAGCCAGTGAAGTTGTGGATATACATTTCAGTTTTTGTTCTAGTGAGTCATTAGTTCCTCAACCAAATTCTCATGTTTTTTCTTTATCAAAGTCCAATGATGAGACTTCCACTATTCAAGCAAATCATATACAAAGTAACAAAGAGCAAGAAGTAACAAGTGCAGAAGTTTCCTCCATAAAAACAGGGGAATTGAGGAGTCAGCAATTAGAAAAACCATATTTGCAAAGTCATGGGGATTTACCAATGTATGCAATTCCAGTTGGGTTTGTTTCAGATGATAACCAGAACAAGAAAAAAATTAACATTCCCCAAAATGAGCATGCTGTTTCAACTTTCCTTTCTCCTAATCAGCATATTAATACTTGCAAAATGTCAAGCTCCACAACAGTATATGAAGAAGGAAGAATTCAGGTTCTTCAGACATCTAACCAAGAATATGTGATAGAAGAATCTCAGATGAAACCAGCATTTTCTGACTCTGATGTGTTTGTCATTGGAAAAGTTCCTGTTAATGATAAAGAGATTATGAGTTTACCCTCAGGTATTCCAGACACCAATCCAGATCCAGATCAACTCTGGAGCAGGATCTTGGAGGATTACAAGACAGAGTGTCTTCAGAACCAGAAAACAGAACAAAACAATTACCTTGGTTCTGGATCAATTTTCAATACCCCGAAACAGCACCATAGACCAAGGACTTTAAGTAACATAGAAATCAATACAAACCCATTCATTTCAAAACCAGAATTAACCAGAAGTTACAGCCATAGTGCTAATTCATCATTTTGTGATAGATCAAACCAGAAACTTCGTAACTGTGATAACCGTGATGAACTCCCTTCCATGACTTGCTCCTTCTCACCCACTAACAACAGTCATTCACTAAAACTGATATTCAGAAAGGAAAAATCACCACAAGAACAGCAAACTCCCACAAGTACAAATTATAGTGAACAAGTAAGTAGGGTTCCAGATCGAAATTTTCAAGAAAATGTCATTGAATCTAATGTGTCTTCAGCTTTGTCTGATCCATCCTCTACTAATGTGGAAGGCTCTGAGGAGGAGGGAGATTCCTTACCCTACATGATAGTGGACACAGGGGTAGAAATTTGTAGGAAGGCACTCGGTGCTGAGGAAGATGAAGACATGTCAGAAGATGAATGGGCTTTAGAAAAAGAAGCAGATTCACAGAATGCAGTGACTTAAGAATTTTCAGTAATATTAATAATATTTTAACTGGGTAATTATGGCAAGTCTTTCTTATAAATGTAATGTAGTTTTTTGTGTAATATTATGTTAAGTCCCTTTCAATACATTTTAGAACTTTTATTTCCTTTGCATATGAAAATTTAAATTTTCAAATGTTTAAGTATCGTTTATATATATTTTCCCTGTCTGTGATAATTCATAACATTTGTGTATATTTTAATGAAGAAAAATATCTGTCACATGAGAGCACTGTGGGAGAACAGTGTTGAAAGACTTACAGAGTTCACTGTTGATTTTTTTTTCTTTTTTCTTTTATGAACCATCACCAGTCTCTGTTTTTGACTACAATTTTAAGCTATATAAGTCTAAAATTATTGTACATAGACAACTATGTACTGTTGGAAGCAAACAAATGAAAAATACATGTTAATTTAAGAGCAGAGATTTAGACAAAACATACATTTTGATATTGTATGAAATCAGTGGTTTCGAACTATGTATATGTATTGAAGGTATATTTTCTTTAATGCCAGATTTCAATAACAGAGAAAGTTAATATTGTTCTCAGGTGTTTCAAATATCAACTAAAGCACATCTGTGCCAATGACACAATGACAAAAATATCAGGAAAAATCAGCCCTGGTTTAATGAAAACTGGTGAAGAACTTTATTGCTAAAACATATTTTGTAAGCCTTTAAACATAAAACCAATAAATGGATATGATTTCTGTGCATTATTTTGTACCATTTTCTCCAGATTTTTAAATTACTTTATAGGCAGTGAACTACTGTTCTCCCAAATGGATATTCTTTAGATACTGTTCTTGTACATCTAAGATTTAATTATTGCCTAGTAAAGATATTTCTACAGTTTTTATTTTGGCATCAAATCTTTTCAGAATAAAAATAAAACCTTAAAAATATCTCTTAATGTAGGTCTGTTTCTTGGAATTCATTGTGCTTGAAAACTTGTTTCCTAATCTTATGACACATAGTGATCATTTTTTGGGATTGCGAATTTCTTTACAAATATGTAAATCACTTTGAACAGTACTGGTAGTATTTCATTATAAATTAATGAAAATTACAGACACAAAAATGTACATATATGTATGTGGTAGATACAGGAATGCATAAATAATCCATCAAAGTGAAACTCTTTGAGATGAATGCCTGATTATAAAGAGCATGCAATATAAAATGTAACAAAACGAAACGTCTTTTCTTCGGTAAGAAAAAAGTTCTTTAAATAAAGGTGCATGAAATATCTTTCATTTCAAAGTTGGAGGGCTAAGTGAAAAGAAGAATAAAGTCTCTATATAAATGATTTAATATTGTACAGTATGTCAAAAAGTTGTCTGTTTCTAATTTTGTAAATAAGAATGATGAGAAATATTTTGCATATGAATTCTTCATTAAACACAATCATGTTATCTGGAACCAAACCTTTTTTCAGTTTACTGGTGTGTATTTTGGGCATTTACTATAAAACTTTGTTTATTTGATGTATACTCTTGAACTTTTATTATGATGTTCAAAAATCGGAATAATGCAAGTTAATTAACAACTAATGTGAATGTCAGCTGCCTTGTTCACATGTAATTGGGAACCACTCTGTATAGGAGTCTGTTTTTTGAATACTAGTTTTTGTTACTTTTTCTTTGTTACCATTATGATTGTGTAAAATTTCTTTTTTTCTTGCATTGAAAATTGTCATTTTATTTCTGAAATCATACTTTTAATATATAAATACTGAAATAACACACTTTTTCCTATTACAATTTAGGAAGTATATGAAGCCATTTATAGAATATTTTTGAAACATAAGAATTAAACTTAAACCTGAAGCATAACTTTTAAATAAAGGGCTTTCATATTTCACATGTACATTACCTGTGGCACGACCTCTCTAATTGGTTAATGAATTATTATTATTTTTTTAGTTAAATATATATTCATTTTTATAATATTATATACATGTAATATACACAGACAATACCCAGATAATATGACAATACACTTAATCAACTGATAATTAATTTCAATCTAAAATGATACGTTAATTAACATTGTTTAGTACACAGGGCGTATTACTCTTCCATCACATCAATTCAACTGTTTATACTACTATATTCAAAAAGGAATAAATTATTAATAATGCCACCAACATCTGTATAAAACCATATATATATATATATATATATATATATATATATATATATATATATATATATATATATATATATATATATATATATATATATATATGCACAATACACAGTAATAGATACATAAAACTCAGAAAGTGAAGAAAAATTTGGAAAAAAGGAAATTTTATGCATATATAATTGATTTTTTTTTTATATAACAATAGTAATGTAACCTACACATATACAAACATGACCCTTCTTACAGTGGGAATTTCTAATAAAAAAAAGAAAATGAGTCCATCACTCCCACTGTAACTAGTATCGAGGGCCAGGTCACCCTCCAATACGGGTCTTTTTATGTTATAGGCTCAAGAAGAACAATACTCCGAGTATTTTTAGAAAAAAGAGGAAGAAAAAACAAAACAAAAGGCAAAACAAATTTTCTGAATATATTTATAATTTTTTCACATGTATAATTTGTATCTTGCATTACATTTTACGGGAAAAAATGAACTTAACATTCATTTTAAAATTACTTTAAACACAAAGTTTCCAGTTACTATTGTGTGTGAAAAAAAATGACACAAGCGAATTAAAGTAATCTAAACAGTAACTAGTGTAGTAAGTGTGTCACAGATATTGGTTAATGAATTTGACCTACCTTTCAAAAAATGTAAAGCTATATATGTCGTATCTGAGCTAAAAAATAAAAATACGAGATAGAGTGTAGATAAACATGATATATGTTATTTACGTTCAAATTAAAATTTTTGACCGATTTTGAACTTTAATAATCCCATGTTTCCATAGTTAAATTGAATTTAAACTGTGTCTGTTAATTAAATTGGGAGTCAATAAATAAATCGATTATTGTTTTAAATTTCTATCATATTTGGAACGTGATGATTTGAATTGTGTAATTTACAGGAAAGCCCTATCTTTATATAAAGTAATAAAATAAATAGATATATCTCTTTAATTTTAGTTAGTCTGAACTTATCAAAAATACGACATATATGACTTTAACATTGGTGATAATTTTGAATGAGAAAAGCTAGGGCATTCATTTTTAGCTCACTTGAGCTGAAGGTTCAAGTGAGCTTTTCTGATCGAAATTTGTCCGTTGTCGTCGGCATTGTCGTTGTTGTAAACTTTTCACAATTTCATCTTCTTCTCCAAAACTACTGGGCCAATTTCAACCAAATTTGCCACAAAGCATCCTTGGTTAAAGAGGGTTCAACTTTGTTCAAATGAAGGGCCACGCCGTCCTCCAAGGGGAGATAATTAAGAATTGGTGATTTTTGGTGTCATCTTTTAAAAATCTTCTTCTCAAGAACCATTAGGCCAGAAAAGTTTAAACTTATGAGCAATCTTCATTACATAGTGTGGATTCAAATTTGTTCAAATCATGACCCCCGGATGTAGGGTGGGGCCACAATTGGGGATCAAAGTTTTATATAGGAATATATAGGAAAAATCTTTAAAAATCTTCTCAAAAACAACAAAGCCACAATTAGTCATATTGATATGGAATCATCCTCGGGTAGTGTAGATTAAAGTTTGTTCAAATCATGACCCCCGGGGGTAGGGTTGGACCACAATGGGTGATCAAAGTTTTACATAGGAATATATAGGAAAACTCTTTAAAAATCTTTTCACGAACAGGAAAGCCATAATTACATGTAGTCATATTGATATGAAAGCATCCCCAGGTATTGTAGATTCAAGTTTGTTCAAAGCATCCTCCAGTCGTAGGGTGGGACCATAATGGGGGATCAAAGTTTTACAAAAAACATATATAGGAAATATCTTTATATCTTTAAAAATCTTCTTCTCAAGAACAACAAAGCCATGATGAGTCATATTGATATGGAAGCATCCTCAGGTATTGTAGATTCAAGTTTGTTTCAACCATGACAGGCGATCAAAGCTTTACATATGAATATATAGGGGAAGAAATCTGCTGACCAAGAATAATAGGGCCATATTGGTTCAGGTGAGCGTTGTGGCCCATAGGCCTCTTTTGATTTCAACAGTATTGCCATGGTTACTAAAAAAGAAATTCCTTTAAAATCCTTTTAAAACGCTACTCATCCTACAGTTTTAGGCTGCTTAGACTCTTTACACAAGTAGACTACACTAATACACGTCTTTCTTTATCATAAGTACACACCAGTAGAGCTTGTCTCGTCAGAGACTTTTGGTTTACACGCGCATTACCTGTTACAAGAAAATATAAAAATCGGTTATTTTTACATGCATTCAAACACAATTGCGAACGTAAAATGTTCACCTATCCACAAACCAGAATAAGATGAAAATTGCATTTCTTTACTGTCATTGCTACCTTACGTTCTCAATAATTGTATTAAATCTTTCCTCTGTTCTGGAAACATATGATATGGCACAGATTTTAAATAATCAGGAATATCAGAAATAGAAGCTTCAGTTTTTGTAAAAATCAACGGTATAAATCGATAGTTGTTTCTGCCATTCTGCTGAAATTCTGCCCTTGCAATGTTATGAATGTAGACAATGCCTTGCTCTTGTTCTTTAATTTCAGCCATTGGACTGTTGTACTCGCCTGCTTTTAGCGCTACGCTATAATCAGGTGATATACAGAAGAGTATCCATTTAGCTTTCCTGTAGTTTATGTCTCTCCAACCATTAATATTCAGTTCTGCTTTTCTCAGCACAACATAACTACCACATTTCACAGAAAAAATTAAGAGAATCCCTCAGTTCTTCACACAATTTCCTAATTTCATGTTTGTGTCTCTTTCTTTTATCAGAAACTGTCAAACAAATAATGGGATTTCCTGTATCTGAAACAATAAAATAAAACATAATTAAAGTCCAATGTCCCTCTGATAAGAGTGATAACTTCCAAAAAAATTCGATCCCAAAATATTCGAAAATTCGTTTTAACAGGTGTCACTTTTTTAGCCATTTACTGGCAAATTCTTACATGGCAACCCTTTGGCAAAGACAAATGTTTTTAACATTGACTTGTTAGCTCACCTGAGCCGAAGGTTCAAGTGAGCTTTTTTGATCGAAGAGTGTCCGGCGTCTGTCTGTCTTACGTCGTCTGCTGTCTGTAAACTTTTCACATTTTCAACTTCTGATGAAGAACCACTGGGTCAATTTCAACCAAACTTAACACAAATCATTCTACAGTGAAGGGGATTTAAGTTTATTCACAGCAAGTGTCACACCCTTGAAAGGGGAGATAAATAAATTAAGGAAATTAGGTGGCATTTTTTAAAAATCTTCTCAAGAACCACTAAGCAAGAAAAGATGAAACTTATGTGAAAGCTTTATTACATACTCTAAATTGAAGTTTCTTCATATCATAACCACCGGGGATAGGGCGGTGCCACAAGTGGGGGTCGAAGTTTTACATAGGAATATAAAGAAAATGTCTTTAAAAATCTTCTTCTCGAGAACAGCAAAGCCATGATTAGTCAAATTATAACAGAAGTATCCTCAGGTAGTTTAGATTTAAGTTTGTTCCAATCATGACCCCTGGGAGTAGGGATGGGTCACAGCAATGGATCAAAGTTTTACATAGGAATATATATGTGTAATGGTTAAGGTGTTATGTCCATCTGATAAGAAAGATAACTTTTGAAGGATATTATTCCAAGCAATCCAATGAATTGTCTTGCCAGTGTTTACTAATGAGGATCAATATGTTGTCAATTACACAAATCAGAACTAGGTTACAAATATTGATTTCTATTTTCCAATGACAAAATTTTTATTAATTACTTATAATAGTTTACCTAAAACATTTATATTCAACTCCGTTAAACTGTTAAAATTGAGATATTTCTATCTCTCAAAATATAATTCTCTTAATTATTACAGGAATTTTAGATGCAGAATTTTTATAATCAATATTTTTTCTCTTAAAAAAATTTTGAAGAAAGATAACTTCTGTAGATGGAATGATAACTCTTGTAGATGGATACATTTTTAGCTCACCTGAGCCGAAGGCTCAAGTGAGCTTTTCTGATCACTTTTTGTCCGGCGTCCGTCTGTCTGTCTGTCCGTCTGTCTGTCTGTCTGTCTGTCTGTCTGTAAACTTTTAACATTTTTGACTTCTTCTCAAGAACCACTGGGCCAATTTCAACCAAACTTGCCACAAAGTATCCTTGGGTGAAGAGGATTCACATTTATTAAAATGAAGGGCCACACCCTTTTTCAAGGGGAGATAATAAAGAATTAGTGAAAAATTAATAGCATCTTTTAAAAATCTTCTTCTCAAGAACCACAGGGCCAGGAAAGATGAAACTCATGTGGAAGCATCCTTAGGTAGTGTAGATTCAAGTTTGTTCAAATCATGCACCCGGGGGTAGGGCGGGGCCACAATGGAGGATCAAAGTTTTACATAGAAATATATAGGAAAAACCTTAAAAAATCTTCTTCTCAAGAACAGCAAAGCCATAATGAGTCATATTAATATAGAAGCATCCTCAGGTAGTGTAGATTCAAGTTTGTTCAAATCATGACCCCCGGGGGTAGGGTGGGGCCACAATGGAGTATCAAAGTCTTAAATAGAAATATATAGGATAATATCTTGGAAGCATCCTCAGGTAGTGTACAAATGA